CCCCCCCCCATCCCCCCCCCCCCCCCCTCCCCACTCGAAAAAAAACACCAATACTACTATTTCAATTCAGTCCTACGTATGAGATGTCTGACTGACATTATTTGAAATCTCTGCACACATCTCTCCACAGGCGAGAGCAGGTCCACCAGTTGGGACATCAATGCATGAGAACATTCAGTTCGTGTTCATGATTTAATGCAACATGCGATGATCGATCTAAATAATGCTGAATATTGGATTAGATCTAGTTGTCAGGGTTTTATGGCGGTCAAAATAGAGAAACAAAATATGTTGTATAGGGATATGAAGGGTCCATTGCTAAAATGTAAGGGTCCCAATAGAGCAAATATATATAAATATATATACATATATATATATATATATATATATATATATATATATATATATATATATATATATACATATATATATATATATATATATATATATATATATATATATATATATATATATACGGAGCTAGAAATGAGGTGATAAAATCAAAAAACTTCCGATGAATCTCGTATATATATTACGATCCCGGTGAACTGCTTCCATTTCTGACTGTTTCCTAACACGTTGGCTGCTTCCTATTCAGCGAATTTGGTACTGAGATTATTTTCGTAGCCTCTTGCTATATGCTTTGTATTTTGTGACATATATTTCGGTATGGGAAATAGCGTTGGTTCCGTATGGCGCGCAAAATATAATTCCCGATAACTACCGGTGCGCTCTTCCTTTTCTTTTCTTTTTTTTTATTTTAATAAACGAAATGCGTTTTGTGCTTAATATTTTCTTTTCTATTCGGAAAATGAATCCGTCTGAATTTCAATATGGTGTAATTCATATTCGGTTTAAAGGTATTTATTGGGACATCAGAATATCTAATAAAAGTCATGGACGTGAAATAAAAGGTGTGCAGTGACGTATCATGGAGAGAAGGGGTGAAGCGAATATTGGGATTCTCAGATGCGCGTTTAAAAGGTGTGCAGTGACGTATCATGGAGAGAAGGGGTGAAGCGAATATTGGGATTCTCAGATGCGCGTTTAAAAGGTGTGCAGTGACGTATCATGGAGAGAAGGGGTGAAGCGAATATTGGGATTCTCAGATGCGCGTTTAAAAGGTGTGCAGTGACGTATCATGGAGAGAAGGGGTGAAGCGAATATTGGGATTCTCAGATGCGCGTTTAAAAGGTGTGCAGTGACGTATCATGGAGAGAAGGGGTGAAGCGAATATTGGGATTCTCAGATGCGCGTTTAAAAGGTGTGCAGTGACGTATCATGGAGAGAAGGGGTGAAGCGAATATTGGGATTCTCAGATGCGCGTTTAAAAGGTGTGCAGTGACGTATCATGGAGAGAAGGGGTGAAGCGAATATTGGGATTCTCAAATGCGCGTTTAAAAGGTGTGCAGTGACGTATCATGGAGAGAAGGGGTGAAGCGAATATTGGGATTCTCAAATGTGCGTTACTGGAGTTCATGTAGTGTCAGGTAACTTTAGTTGATGGGAAGTCCACGCATTGCTGTCGCCAATGTTTGGGGGATTATATCTAGGCATTTATTAATTTTGTTTAAAAATATAACTGATTTACTCCTGATCCTCAATGCCAATAACAAAATATCTTTTTAAAGGGTCTACAAACTGTCTTTGCTTTGAACGATTCTGAAATTGTTTAGCAGAAGACAGTTTCTGGGGCCCACGCTCTTAACATTGCACCAAATATTTAACTATTCACAATGTGACGATGGTGTAGACTTCGCAACACGAAATCCTCAAGGCCTGGGGATTGTAATTTTTTTTTTAGGATTATAAGCTGGTTCCTCATACAGCACATCGCCTCTCTCCACGCCGCTGGGTAACCCCAAGGGAACATCATGTAGATGGTACAGCTTGGCACCAGTGGCGTCGCAGGGGTTGTCGGAATGTTTCATGGTTAAGCATTGATTAAACGAGGAAAGCCTAATCGGAATTATTGTAATCATTCCGGAAAACTACATCTGTTAAATTTTCAAAAACAATCTTCATGCAACACGCTTGTAATCAATGGTCTTATCAGCACTCTGTCAATCTCTTTATGACGTCAAGTGCTCATCAAGGGCCCAGTCTCACTAACGTGGCCTCAAAGATGTCTACTGATGAGCGTTTGTGACCTTCCTCGGGCAAGATTGTAAGCTGTTGGCCTATAGGCGCACCAAGGACGATATCCCGCCTTTACACATCTGAGTGACACATTTTCGGATCGACACATCCAAGCGACACACCAGGGGCCCTAAACATCCGAGAGACACACTGCACTACGTGCACACCTCAGAGACACACATACGTGCACATTTGAGATTACTTCTCTTGTCCTGCGCACCTTAACGACACATTTGTACTGCGTCCTCAAATCACGCTGCTTCTGACTGTTTCGTACTGATCAATTACTGGATACTGACAAGTGAGTCTAGTGGGAAATAAAATGTTTCATGTTTAGCTATAGAGAGCTTTGCAATTTGACCTTAGCAAATTCTAATAGCCATCGTTTACTAGGGACTATAGAGAGCTTTGCAAATTGACCTTAGCAAATTCTAATAGCCATCGTTTACTAGGGACCATAGAGAGTTATTGAAGAATTATTGTACTCAGATGCGCTACTAGTTTTTGATAGAGGAAAAGCGCTTCTCAAAGGGACCCACGATTGGAGGGGCCCAAGATTGGATGGCACACGATTACAGGGACTCCCGATAAGAGGGGTCCACGACTACAGGGGCCCGTGATATGAGGTGCCCACAATAATGGTGGCACACTATTACAAGGGCCCACGATTAGAGGGACACGTTTAGTCCACGATTAAATGGCCCACAATTACAGGGACCCACGATTACAGAGGCACACGATTAGAGGGCCCATGATTATAGGGACCCACGATTACAGGGGCTCATGATTAGAGGAGCCCTCGGTTAGAGGGGCCCAAGATTAGGAGGATCACGATTACAAGGGACTACGATTACAAAGGCCTACGATAAGAGGGTGCACGATTACAGAGACTCAAGATTAGAGAGACCCACGATTAGAGAGGCCCACGATTACAGGGACCCGCGATTATAGGGGTCCACGATTACGGAGGCCCGCGATTAGAGAGGCCCACGATTAGAGCGACTCTCGGTTAAAGGGGCTTAATATAAAGATTAGAGGGCCCACTATTACAGTGACCCACGATTAGAGGGTTCAACGATTACAGAGGCCCACGATTAGAGATGTCCATGATAAGAGGGGCCCACGATTAGAGATGTCCATGATAAGAGGGGCCCACGATTAGAGATGTCCATGATAAGAGGGGGCCACGATTAGAGATGTCCATGATAAGAGGGGCCCACGATTAGAGATGTCCATGATAAGAGGGGCCCACGATTTGAGAGTCCCAGTTTTGTATTTGTTTACAAAAAAACTTGCCCGGCTCACTATTGCACTAGTTTTCCCTGTTCACTAAGTCGACAATGATTTATAATAAGACGGTCTTGGGGGAAGATGATTGATGGAAGGGGAGGGAGAGCGAAGAACTCCTTATTTCTTCATTATTGTTTTCTTTTTTGTTCATGATGGGAGCGATACAGTCAATTGCAATCTTTTATGGGTAACGAAGCTGAAAAAATTACGAGTGGCCCTACTTTGACTACAATTAGATTTTAGATTTTTTTTAATGGGGTGAATTGTATAGAGGATGGCTTGAAGAGATATGATTTATCTACAAATCATTGAATTTCTGAATCTCATATTTCACCAACCTCTAGCAGGTCAACAACATCACCAACATTTGACAGGTTGGCAGCCATCAAATATGCCAGGATTGAACGAGTACCTCTTTGATGGCAAGGACCTGGAGGTCACCTCCCAGATGAAGTCCGACTTTGACCTTGACGGGTTCATCATTGTTCGGGGTCTGCTGAATGCAGAGGAGCTGGACATCATCGAGGTGAGTCGGGGGGAGGGGGCGACTGGTAGGAGTGACAGGGGCGGATGTGTGGTGACAAACCTGGTTGGACAAACGTTATTGGGACATGGTCGAAAAGGATGAATAAAAGGATCTCGTTGGAATTATGGGAATTGTTATTTAGGATATGATTAATAATATGTGGATTGTCTTCCACATCTTAGTTAACTTAAAAATAAAAAATAATAAAAACTGCGCTTATTGACTGCCGTTAATTTTATAAAAACAATAAAATAGAACCAGGATGGAAATATGTGGAAGATTTGTCACATTGTTTTGGACTGTGTCACATTGTTT